TCAGTGTTGTTCTTGCATTAGTTCAGTGAAAGGCAGGTAAAAGTGAGCAGCTCCAGTGAAATTCTAATCATCCAGTCAACGGAGGCCACTCACCCTACACACTGTTTCTCCTCTGGGAAGTGGAGGAACTTGTCCTGAACAGCAGACATGCCAAGGCACCAGAAACTGGTCACCAACGAAAGTGATGGTAATTGCGTTTGTTCACTTAACTTCTGTTTTTTGCATTGCATTTTTTAGTTTGTGTGATAGGCCAGTTTCAGCTGTTTGGAAAGGAACTGCTGTAGTCATGTAAATGTCCATATTGATTATTTTGTTTACTCAAAACATACATTAGAAATGTAAGAAAACATGAAAAATACAGATGACAAGGATTCCCTATAATCATCATACATGAAGTATGAGTAAGGTACATATTTGTATTGAATTATTTTATTAGCTTTGTATGTTTTTGAATTATTCCAATTTTACATGCAGTCTATTAGTAATTTGTGAAATGGAAGATATTAATAGTATACTGTATTTTGCTTTTTTGTAAGTGTGTGGGTGCAACACCAATGACACCTACCATATATTAATATCTCATGTCTTATATTCACCTATAATACCTGAAAACTGAGTCTTAGCTTCAGTTTGTTTTTCTGTTATGTAAAATAATTAAAATCCAAAAAATCCTAAGCTTTAAAGATAATTTCTTCTTATTGTATTGAATAGTAATGAGTTGTTGTAAAGGAATGTGCCCATTTGACCTACTCTATTAAAATATGCTTTTATATAATTAAATCTCAAAGACAGTAAAATGGTGAAAAATAATCTTAATAGTTTATTTCAGGTGATACTTTGGAAGGTATAAGTATGTGTTACAGGCCTTCTAAATGAAAGAAAATTGTCTGGGTATTTGTAAAAAAGGCCGGAGTACTGAATAATCCATCATTCATGTTTTTGAATGAGTGCCATTATGCTAGTCATGAAAGAATTATTACCTGCCTTATAACATATATTGCACTTAAAGTTTTATTACATTCTTTTGTGTAATTTCTCCGCAATTTGATAATTACTAAAATGAAGTATTAATTATAATGAGTATGAAAATGATATTCATTCAGAATATTCTCCTATACATAGTTTATTAATAATTAACACAAACATATTAGAAATTAAAATATAATATACTATATGACTTGTAGTTTTCCATGTATATTTAAAAATTCCAAAGTGTATTCTATATGACATCTTTTTTCCAGAAGAAACAAAATGGTCAGAAGTGACCATAACATTAAAATTATTTTAGATTTTTTCATGACAACCAATTAAATTTCAGGTTTATATGCTTGGCTTTCATACCCTACCATCATTTTACAAATAATTAATTTTCACAAGTAAATAAAGCCAAATGAGAACTCAATCATCAAGTGATGATTCCTTAGTCACCTTTAATATTTTCTTGTGGCAGCAGCTGTAGTATTTAATTTTAAGTATTGAGCACAATGTGAGATACGCAAGACTGAGAGTTGGTAGTCATTTGAGATCAGTGACTGAGATCCTTATAAAAGTTATATAAGCTTTACAGTAAAACAATTAAAGGAAATAGATTTACATGAGTTGAGCTTTGTTTGTCTCGTGAAGCTGAGTTTTATTTAGGATTGGGAGTGAAAATGTACCCACCCTAACTGATTATATTCTACTTTAGTTATATTAAAAGGAAAATTCTGCATAGCCTTTTATGAAAATTCTTCTTAAGAACTTAATTCTTTTAATTTCCTTTCTAAATTTACAGATCTCAATTACATTATGTATAATGCTTATACTGCACCTTGACTTTGCGTATTGTTGATAAATGATTTGGTTTAACAAAGCATTCATTGGTTAGGGTACAGTTAGTTTTGATATGCACAAATATCCAGTCAAATTCATGAAATAGGGACTGGAGCACTTTCTGGAAAGGTTATTATATTTTGAACATGCTGTGTTATCAATGTGATAAGCACATGAGAAGGGTTACAAAGGAGAGAAGGATAGTTAGCTTATCTTATTCATTTGGTAGTTAGCTAACTGATCCAAGCATCTCCTCCAGCCATTTCTTAAAAGAAGCCAGATTTCAATAATTTAATACTTCAATACTCCCACAATCCTTTGCATGAAAAGGTGTCTCCTGTTCTCAGTTTTAAACACACTACCATGTAGTTTCCACTTGTGTCCTCTGGTTCACGTTTCCAGAGCAACAATGTATTTTCCATAATATGGTGACTGAAACTGCACACAATATTTTAAATAATAATAATTGCTTACACTTATATAGCACTTTTCTGGACACTCCACTCAAACTGCTTTAAAGTAATGAGGACTCCCCTCCACCACCTCGATGGTGCGACGCCAGCCATAGTGCGCCAGAACGCTCACCACACATCAACTATCAGTGGGAAGGAGAGCAGAGTAATGAAGCCAATTCATTGATGGGGATTATTAGGAGGCCATGATTGGTAAGGGCCAATGGGAAATTTGGCCAGGACACAGGGGTTATACCCCTACTTTTTTCGAGAAACGCCCTGGGATTTTTAAATGAGGCCTTCCTAACGATCGACAATTTTTACATAACATTCCTTAATTGTAATTTTACATATTTAACGACAGTATATGCCCTACCATTTTGCCTTTTTAATTTTAATTAACTAATTATTTTTTAAAATTTTGCCTCACATTATCCACAAGAGGTAAATGATCTATCAGCATAAACACAGTCTTTTTCATAAATAAACTGTATATTTCTAAGGCAAGCATTGTGATCTTTGTTATTGATGAAGGTCTGGGATGTCGGGAGACTAGTGCAATGGTGCAGTTTCGCAGTACTGTGGTTTTGCTAGTGGAATTTGAAACTTTTGAAATAGAATTCCGTAACACATTTTGTAAAGGTTGCAATGGGTAACACCATCTGAGCTTGCTAATTTGGATGCTTGAGTTGTAAGTATGATTATGTATTATTTTATTTCTTGGCTTAAAAAAACCCTTGTATTTGGTACTGGGAATACCCATGCACTGGGTTTGTTAGTGTCACATGCCTGTTATGCGTAGGACAAGGACCTGTTTTTAACTCTAGAATTGTATGTTAAATTAAGCCTCCCCATTTGATGCATCGACACTTTTCTTCAAATGTACAGAATGTAACATATTTTCTTTAATCTTTACCACTTTGAAAGTCAGTTTTATTTTCTAGTTCATTTTGTGATCTTTTTCTTGGTTTATGTTAGCCTGGCATATCTAAAGCTGTCTTTCCACCAGCTCAGACCTGTTGTCTCTCTGTTAGAGAGGGAGACAGCAAAATAACTTTCCCTGTTTTTCTAAATTAAGTGATCTCTATTCAAGATGTTTCAACATAGTGTGCCGATATGAACTGAATGTGAACAAATCAATACATTACATTGTTCAAAAGCAGTTCTGTAATATTTAGAAATCAATTTAAATTGAAGTATAAACAGAGTGGAGTATCATGGGCTCACTATTTCTGATATGAACAATTACTGCTACTGAATAATGGCAGATTACCTAATTGACTCAATCATTCCTCTTATATTCCTTTGCACAGGGCTCTATGTCTCAATTGTTAGACATACAGTACTAATCATGGCCCCGATGTCATTGAAAGGTCATATTGTTATCCTAGATGAAAAGCTGAGACAATCGGTACTTGCATAAGTGGATCGTCAGAACTGGAAATTGTCTAATTTGCTGGATCATAAAATATTCCATTATAAAGACTGGTAGAGCACTTTGTGCCCAAGGATAGATCTTTATATGTTAATGTTTCAATAATCTGGTACTGCAATTCTATATTATGAATTTTATTACCAAACATTATAATTAAGTCCTGTTGACCTTTTAAATGACTATATACACAATAGAAAGAATGTTTCCTACTTGTATGTTTTATCAAAATTGCTGATGTATTCCCACGTAACATTAACATGTTTAGTATTTAGAGAGCGATACGCCCATGAATGTCCCAGTTCATTACTAGCTTGGCAGCACAGAAAATAGAAACAAAGGTGCTTCTGTGCTGTTCCCTTGCCTCAATCTGCCCCACGCCCTCACGAAAGGTCTCTGATGGTACAGAAAGGTGCTTCATTAATGGCCCCTTTGTGTTCTTTGTAGAACACTACTCTCCATGTAATGATGCATGTAAGTTTCAGATCGAGTTACACAAAGAAACAAATGTGAAGTCTATAAACACATATTCATTATTTAATGGGTTCTTTTGTTACCACACTTAACCGACTATGGCAGACCAGATTAAGGGAATTTACTCATTTTAAGCTTCTTTTATTTTTTTGCATTAACACATTGCCAAGATTATTAAAAAAATATTGCACAAGAAAATTTAAAAGCTGGTCATTTCTGGAAGAAATACATTGAATGGTTTTCAAAGAAATTGTGAAAAGAAGAATGCAAAAATCTGACAAAAACTGAAAATATAGAATACTGTGTGTAAGAAACAATTCAATTACAGTAATATTTATCTGCAAGATTTACTGGACTCTTGCCAAGGTGGACTTTGGTATGATTTTTGCCAATCAGTATATTTTGAATGTGAGGCTTTCAGCACAGTTTGATTTTAGAGTTCTATCAGGAATTGTGTGAAGCTTTAATTAAACATGCTATTGAACTTTGTTCTGCCACGTTTTATTATTGGAAATTAGCCTCTTATAAACTCCAAGAATATATACTGTTATGTTTCATTTTCCTGTTGAATTCCCTGATCCTGGTTTCAGCGAACAGTTGGAATAAGAATCTTTAAGAGAAAAATCATTTAAAAATGGCAAATTCCCTGGCTTCATCACATTTTCAATAAGTATATTGTAGAAGGCATTCATAAAATGAATATGATAAAAAATTGAATTTTATCAACCTCTCACCAATATTTTAAGCTTTTTTTTCTCTTTAGCCATGTTGTGTATGGTGATCTCAAAAGTGCTATCTTGCTTTTAATTTTATATTTCTTTTTCCAACAGTCAGCATTGAAATAGATATTGAAGACGATGAGGAAACATCAGGTGGGAATTATGGTTGAAATTATATTCCTTTTATTTTGTTTTGTCTTGTTTCTGAGACTTTGACTTCAGCACATTTGGGAATACTGAATATTGATTACTTGAATTTTTCCATCCTAAACTTTCAAAAAGAATGTATAGTATAGTAGCAGTATACATTCTGTACCATATGCTACTTCTGACTGAGTGATGCAGTTGTCTTTTCTTTTCCTGATGAATTTTCATAAATCTAGTAAAATCACTTTCAAAATGTATGTTCTCTTTCAGAAGAGCAAATATGTTTCCAGTCAAGGCTGCTGGTTGATGTAATACTGTGTTACTTAGTAAATGTCTGTCTTCAGTGAGAATGTAGGCTCATCACAGTCAGTGATATCAGTGATGTAATATTAGTAGAGGAATACTACTAGAGGTGGACTTGTAGATAAGGGTTCCCTATAACTTAGGGCTCTGCAGTCCTGGTCTTCTAAGGCTACTCTGCCTGCAGGAGTTCTAGGCTTATTACGAGCTGTAAAATGAAGCCAATGATAACTGATTTTAGTCACAGCAGCCATATCACCCTGCAACTCACAACTGGCAACCCACTGAAGCTAAGCAGGTGTGAGCCTGGTCAGTACCTGGATGGGAGACCTCCTGGGAAAAACTAAGGTTGCTGCTGGAAGGGGTGTTAGTGGGGCCAGCAGGGGGCGCTCACCCTGTGGTCCATGTGGGTCCTAATGCCCCAGTATAGTGATGGGGACACTATACTGTAAACAGGCGCCGTCCTTCGGATGAGACGTAAAACCGAGGTCCTGACTCTCTGTGGTCATTAAAAATCCCAGGGCTCTTCTCGAAAAGAGTAGGGGTGTACCCCGGTGTCCTGGCCAAATTTCCAATTGGCCCTTACTAATCATGGCCTCCTAATAATCCCCCTCTATGAATTGGCTTCATTACTCTGCTCTCCTCCCCACTGATAGCTGATGTGTGGTGAGCGTTCTGGCGCACTATGGCTGCCGTCGCATCATCCAGGTGGATGCTGCACATTGGTGGTGGTGGAGGGGAGTCCCCATTACCTGTAAAGCGCTTTGAGTGGAGTGTCCAGAAAAGCGCTATATAAGTGTAAGCAATTATTATTATTATTAATTATTAAAACTAACCAGCAGACAAACCCATCTAACAGTACCAGGACTTGACACTTGTCTCTATCCCATTCTCTTACCCACATTCATTTTATCCGTAATACCCTGTTTTCTCAGGTAAAACCCATTTCAAAACCCAGCCTCATAATCAAATCTGGTGATCTGACAATTTGACCCTGCATGTATTAAATGGAAAAGGTTTCAGAGGATGAAAAATGAAAAGATATGAAAAGGGAGACGCACAACTTAATGTAAACTACAGTATACTGCATATCAGGTCACTCATGATGTAATTTACAACTATTTGGTGACACAATCTTTAGACAATTTCAGTTTCTAACATCTACCCAGTTTTATATCTTGCATTTGATATTTGGGAATGGTTGTACAGAACGTTTTGCATATTTTCACCAGAATAAATTTGATAAAACAATAAGAACATGGAATACATGTTATCAGGTTGTTTTAATTACTGCTTTGTATGCATACTATACAAAGTCCTGTATATATTGTGTTAATTCTTCAAAAGAAAAAGTTTAATTATTTAATTCTTATGATTGTCGTTGTTTTGTAGCTACACAATTGTTCCTTGTAATTTAAGTAAAATAAAAGTCATACATATACTGTATCTGGAGACAAAAACGAGTTATGCTGTATACAAAATGTTTAAATTTAGAAAATAATTTGTTTCAATATGCTTTGGACAAAAGCCCTTCTTCAACTGGTGAGATAAATGTAACCATAGTGCTATTCAAAACAAGCAGTCAAAATTATTTGCTTAGTCGATATACTGTAGCCTATTATATATTAAATATTGTGACAAATTCCTTCTTTTTAGTAACATGACTTTAGCAGCATGAGGTTTACACCCAGGGCAAAAGCCTTAATGGGTTTTAAAAAACAGAATAAAAAGAATTTAGTGATGAGAAACCTATTTATCGATACTGAAACGATTTTTTTTATCTAAAGTGTGTTACTCAGATAGCTATTACCCTACCACCATGAGACCCCTTTTTGTATTAAATAAACTTCTAATTACAAAAATGTGAGAATGCGGTTCAAACTCTTCTCAAGTTATACCATCTTTGCACAGCATGTTAGTGTTTGCCATGACAGCCGGCCACTCACCTGGCTCACTGCCGGTTACCTTGGAAACGTGTACCGACAGTAAATCTGCATCACCAGTGAGCAATTTATATCAGTGCCCGCTTGAGGTGCTGCAGATTATTTTAGGACGCTCTGACACTGCGCAAGACTTGGTTTTAGTTTCATCTCTGAGCTCCTCAAGCCCTATTTCCCGTTTCCCTGCTTTTGCCTGCTTGGAATCCTGACCTCTGCAGTATTTTCTACTTCGATCAGGGATCACCCCTGGCTTGTTTACCATTCTGTATTAACACAGCCTTGACCCTGCTTGTGATTATGACAACGTTTTTTTGAATCTTTATGCTTTGGAATGAGTCACATTCCCTGCTTTCAACTCCCGCTTGCTCGACCACAGATATGACCCGAATTACTTGCCTGCTCTCGACTGTGCTACTGCGCTGCGTCACTGACCCCCTAGCTACCTCTGCAGCACCACACCGCCTATGTGCTCAGTTTCGGCTCTATTGCTAGCACAGCCTGCAGTTAATCTCATTGTGTGCGGACTTTCTGCTCAGCCGGGTCCCCGTGTACGCACTCCGCTGCTCGCAGCGTCCCTGGTACTGTCAGCTGTCTCGTCCAGCACCTGGGTAAATCCCCTACATCCGCCGTTAGTCTCCGTCAGTAGCGGGATCTGACACAATAACTATACTGATATAGTCTGACGGACGTAAGTGTTAGAAACACCGCCCCTCTCTTTGCCGACCTTTAGTCCTTAGACCTTTAGTACAGGCAGTATAGTAAAGTACTTTGCGTAGTGAGATCAACAGCAAATTGTCATAGATAGTAAACTGGGTAATAATTCATAACAATAATTAATAATAATAACAACAACAACAATAAATTGTTATTATTGACCATTTGTTTATAGAGTAAAAATGTCAAACAGTTTAACTTTGATTTTAAAATATGTAATTTTTTAAAACAAAACTTTGCATTCTTCTGAAAGTAGAACATGAACATTTCCTTGCTTTTATACAGCACTTTTCTGATCCCAGTGGATGAAATATGAATGCTTTACAAATAGAAGGGGGCCCACTTCAATCACTTTATTCTTAATTGGAGCATCCATTTGGGTGATGCACAGCACTCACTATGTATTGGTGGCTCCACAAAACATGAGACCTGCTAGAAAAATGATAACCTATTTCACTAATTTGATATATTTTAGGTAGGTCAGATTGTGCAAGACGAGAGTGGAATTTAGCTGTGACATTGAGAGTAGCACATTAACTCTCTTATGAATGATGCCATGGAATTGACCAAAGCAGTCTGGACCTCAGTTACAAATCTCCCATGAAGAATGGTAACTCTTATATCGCAGAATCCCCACTCATCCTGCTGGGACATTAATTGAGAAATTCAAGAGAGCAGAGTGCCTGGTTCACTGACATCGTTCACACTGACTTTCCTAAGTGATCTGCTGTTCCAGTACTGTCTTAGAGAAAGGTGTTGTATCCAAATCTCTAACCACCTATTTAAAATGATATGCTAGAGACATTAAAGTTTGGGTATTGATGTGATTGTAGTGCTGAGGATACACAGCCCAAACTGAAATGACAGTGACAAGTGTCCTCAAGAAATGTCTATTTGACATCCAGTCATTGATGGCCTCTAAGTGGTTAAAAATAAGCTCATATAATGCAGTTACAAGTGATTGGTCCTAAAATACATTTTTAAAAATCTCACAAAATCTAACTGTTTAAAGATAGTATTTGACAGCAATTCTCTTTGTAATGTTACATTTGAAACTTTAAAATACATGATATCTAAAAGGCTCACTGAAAGTAAAAGGACCAAAAATCTGATGTGTCTATGGGCACAGGACGCAGGCCTTTTCCACATCATTGTCTACACTCCACTACCATTCGTCTTTCCTTCACCTTTTACATGAAAACATTAGGTGTACATTAACATTTAGTTTACAAAGTAACTTTTAGTGGGAGTTTTAAGGAAATTAGTGTTACTTTGAGTTACTTTCAGGAACTCCGCTGAGGTGTAAATTGAGCTCTGCCTTCATCACCATGCTGTAACAGTTTTGAATACTCAAGACTGACAGAACTCTTTGAGATGTTTCACATGAATGGTGTAAAAATGAAAGTATTTGTAAAGCACTCTAAATTGGAAGACTTTTTGCAGACAGTAAGACAGACAGTAAGTTATATACACATATACGTGTGTACATGTATATTTCTCACATGTGTGCATCTACTGTATGTGTAAAAAACAAGAGAGACTGCTATCCCCTCCACACACATGTAACTTTTGGTACTGGTCAATTCATGTCTTTTCTTTTGATTCTGGGTTTCTAATTTACCTAATGTCTGGGTCAAATAGCTAACTTTCTCAAATGTTAGGTAGAAGATAATGGACACCAAATTACCTTGGGAACTTGAGTCTGTAAAGAGACCTGACCTCCTTAGAATAAGTGTAATTGTTAGTCAAAAAGAAAGAAAAAAACACAAGCAAACGAAACCTAAGAATTCTATTGCCTTTTCAAAGTAATTATTCTGTTTCACAGTGTTTGTAATCTGATTTAGGGGGATGTCAGTGTCTCTTTGGTTTGTGGAGTCTTCGTGGAGAATTGGGGAGTCTCTACAGTACACTTTCCCGAAGGTGTTGGCACATTACATTGTCTGTGACTCCAATTGCAGTCTCAGCTTTCTTTTCTCCAGATTGGATAATGTGTCCTGACTTTTTATACTGTCGTGTGCTATGCCTTTTCCAGGAGATTACCCAAATAACTTCTCAGAAAATTCATAATCAAGAAGGCAAAGATAAATCTGGCAGAAACAACCCGACGGGCTTTTTAATTGACAAATATTGTTAATATAGGTTTTGCCACTTTCTTCTCCTTCAGTTGAAATAGGTTCTGCTTACCAAATAGTCCCAGAAATATAACTCCACCTGATGTAATTCATTCATTTCATTAATTGAAACATCTTATGTGCTGATGTTGTTTTATTCGTCTGGTTATTTCTTGGGCCCAGATCTTCTTTCTCATCTTTCAGTATGGAATTTACAATAACTGCGCAAAAGGTGTTTTTTTTATTTTCAGAAAAAATGAACTTTTCCAATTACTACTGTCAAAAATGTCAGTAGTCTTTCCTCCCTGTTTGGCGAAGCTCATAATATTGTAAATTAACCTTGTTAAAAACACATGAAACTGAACAAAGAATAGCCAGATCAATTAAGGTAGAATTGCAGGCGAGCAAACTATTGTATTTTACTGATATAATTTTATTTTTCAAGGAGCACATACTAATATCTTGGGACCCATTTGTTATCGCTACATAAATCAAATACTAACAACAATGTGGATTTCATGCTTTGCCTGTCAAAATCATACACACATTAGATTTAAACTATTCTGCTTTTTGTCCTGGGGCAGCTGACCTCAGGTGTTTTTTGATATCATAATACCATACAGACAGATTAGTATACATATCCCAAATAACAAGGAGCTTTAACAAGAAGGATGTAAAATACTTACTGATTAAAGGACTACGTGAAGACACATTCATACAATACGTTCAAACTGCAGCACAGTGTCTGACCCATTACAAACCTAACTGATAACGACTCATATCCGATGAATAGAAAGGAAAGGTTTTGAAAAGTTGCCTCTTACCAAACATTATCCTGTTCTGCATCCAAATGGAACTCTTCCTTGTTTTTTTTAGTCTTCATCCCATTTAAATGACAGATACCTGATCTGCAGGCCAATGCCCTCTTGACTATTCTAGCTTAGGTATATTATTTTCTGTTCTAAGTATTTAAATCTTTGAAAAATAATTTTAGGACTCAGTGTAATGTAACATCTTATACAGTATTTTGACAAAACATTCATAGGAATATTTTGGAGAACAGCAATAATGCTTTCCACATCTTTTGCTGGTAATAGGATGATAACCTTATAAACTTGATTACTTTGATTTTTGCGGCAACTACTAGTGAATTATTGTGCTTCATAAAAATATTTATTCCGTCCTGGTTTGTTTCAATTATACAGTACATTCAGATAACATTTGATATTTCTATATAAACCTGATCCTGACATTTTTAATAGATTGATGTTTTAATTGTGTATTACTCTTAATCCTTTCCACAAAAAAGCGAATTCAAAGATACTGTTTGTGGAGGATACTTGCAGGGAAATTGTGTTGCTACTCAGTGTCTATTTACAATAAGAATGAAGTAGAATTTTAGAATTTCAGACAGTTAAATATTTTTAGAAGTCACTGGGTATCCAGTCTCCAATCATTTATTTATTTTACAATAGTGTGTTAAGTACTTTTTATGAATTCCTGCATAGGACTGAAATATAAATTGAAAGAAAGCATTCATTTTAGCTTGATATATCACATCACTATCAGTTCTATCCCCTAAAAGCAAAAGCTCAGAGAACATTTTAAAGTGCATTAAGGCACACACAGATTGAGTAAAAAGCATTTTGTTACACACGTAGGCTATTTGGTTGCATTTTAAATTAATTATAATAATAATTAATAATTGCTTACACTCCACTCAAAGCGCTTTACAGGTAATGGGGACTCCCCTCCACCACCTGGATGATGCGACGCCAGCCATAGTGCGCCAGAACGCTCACCACACATCAGCTATCAGTGGGGAGGAGTAATGAGTAATGAAGCCAGTTCATAGATGGGGATTATTAGGAGGCCATGATTGGTAAAGGCCAATGGGAAATGTGGCCATGACCTTAGGTTCGAAACCTTAGTATTTAATGTTTAAGACATTTAAAATTGTCCCCAAGCCTTCCAGGAGATACATTTAATGTGCTCATTTTGAGGTTTTCTGTTCTTCAAAATGACATCACCCTTTAACCCAGGCTCCTCTCCAGCACAAAACATATACTTTCTCCTTATACATAACATAACGTTCACAACACCTTTTCCTTTAGATTATTTTTGTCTACTTTACTGTAAATGAATGGTGCTTGTATCAAAGGATTTTTTGAATACCACTTCATCAGAATTCATGTGCATTTAAAATTTCATATGGAACTGACTGAGGGGATTTTGATTGGTCTCACCATACCAGGTTGTTGTTAATAATAGTTTAAAAAAAGAAAACCAATACAGATTGATCAATACTATAACATTCACAACTTTTTTAGAGTTATTTTAATACAAATCTATGAAGCTTAAACAGCTACATGATTTCAGAACTAAAAACAACAGTATTGTTAATGATGCCAGATTTTACCAATTGATTTGTACTTGAAACAATTTAATTAATTTCTATGCAAAACTGTCATTACTCATATGTTGTTTTGTATAATACAATACAAATGTATTATACTTCTTTATAATATTTCTTTCTTTGATTTCTGTGCTTGTCATCCCTGCATCTGTTTTGACCATTTACATAATTGGATAAAACAGAGTTTCTGAACATATTAAACATGACTTCAAGCAGAAGAACTTTGTAGTTGCTAATTGCTTAGAGCATATTGTTCACATGCTTAAAGTCATTTCACCAAACAAACAGCCGCTAGGCTCTTCCACTTAATCATTTACATCAAGAAAAACAAAAATGAAAAAAAAAAGTTATATCACAGTCTTTTTAAAGGTGGTTTTCCTGTTAAGATTGAGCAATTTTTATTTATAAAGGTGAGCCATTTTTCCTGATATTTGGGTTATTTCTGCACTCTTTTGGGTGGTCACCCCACAATCCTCCTTAAGCACATCAGAGGAAGGGTGTGTTACTCGGGCTGCTCCAGCCATCCCTGCGTTGGCAAAGTAAAGTGGAATATAAACAGACTGCGTCTTTCCAAACCTGCCTGTAGGAGGGATTGATCATTCACATACGGCCTCGACATACTATAGGTTCTTGCACTGTAGACCACCAATTAGCACTACTGAAATATGACATCGTCTATAACCTTGTAAGTTTCCCGTTGCCTTCATCGGTGTTATTGACAACACAGTGTTACAAGAGAAACTTCATCTCCATTCAAAGGAAGAAACTTACAACTTGTCACCTAAGGTACCTTCTGGTCTGTGGCCAAGACAGAGTCTCGGATAACTTTAATGACTCTTCTATTTCCCACTTCACCATCCTGATACGTCTCATTAACTAACAGTGAAAATTGACCTAGACTGTTTGCTGCTTCAACCTACATTTCGAGGTTGATCATTATTTAAAAAGGTGCATTATTTTTACTTGTCCCACCCTGTTCTTTTGTTCTAGGAAGTAATTGACTTAATCCTCAGATCCTGGCTTCTAGAGAAGCAAATCCTGTCAATATGTCTGCACCTGTGGCTGAAGCACCACCTTTTCTCAGGCAGTGGCTGAAATACACCATCGACCCACTTGTCTCTATCCTCTATCCTCTATCCTGTGGCTTATAATGGAGTTTGGATGAGTGCCTGTCAATATGTTGTAATAATTTTAGGTATAAGCGTCTCTGACAAACGCCTTAGTTTGGTCAGAAACCATTTATTCCTTAGTTCGTATGTATTACAAATGCTTTTAGAGGTAAAGGTTTTGTAAGATGAGCTTTAAAACTTGCTAGTGTGCTTATACTGTAAATGAGATATGTAATACTTGGATGTCACTCTTCCTGAATGTTTTTCGAAAAAATCAGAAGCACTTTGTATCGATCACTTCAGTTTTGTTTTACTCTTTTGGCAGCTCAAACAATTATAAATACAAATACAAATGAGGAACAATTAAAAGCATGATCAAGTATCTAGCTGCAAAAGCAGACAAGCAACAGAAAAGGTTACGAGAAGTGTGAATCAGAGCTTGTTGTAGCTTGTTAAACATTTTGAAATCACTTAAAGACATTTAAGAGTGTGGTCGAAAATAAGGTGTGATTATCCATATACTGGGAATTTTCAATCAATCTTAATTTAAAACTTTAAATCTTTTTTTATTTTTTTGTTTCTACTTAAAAAGATGTTCATTTAATTAATCATAATTTGAAACTCACTTGAATGACAGACTGAAGGCAAATTTAGCTAAAAATAATGTTAATAATGTTATATAATGTAATAATGAGCACCCAGAGGAAACCCACATAAACATGGGGAGAGCATACAAACTCCACACAGATAGCACCCCAGATCTGCAATTGAACCCAGGGCCCCAGCACTGCGAGGCAGCAATGCTAATGAAGCATCACTGCGCTGCCCTTTTACAGAACATATAGGTATCAAATCACATGAAATCCTTATGTAAATGTATAAGCCCTGATTTTTGGCTGGTTATGGATCTCCATCTACAATTATTCTAAAATTTTTTTTTTATTTTGTAATCTTTGTTTTTGTGTGAAATAATGTCTAAAATTGTGCAAAATACTCTACAAAATGTGAATCTAAAATCATACTAGAATTTCCTTAAAAATCATGTTTTTGCTAGAACAAGTATGCTCCTGAAATGAGATTATTGTATCATGGAAGCACTCAGACACTGTCCAAAATCTCGTGTAAGTAAATTTTCATGAGACTGAGTCGGAATGTTTCAATAATATTTTGTTATGTTTGCCTTCAGCTGTTGAAGACTCAAATGAGGGTGGAGGGGATTCGAAAGAGAAGAAGCAGCAGAGAAAGCGACCTACTACAAGACACTCCAAGGGAACAGTGGAAATCGGGGAAGACTCCGAAGAGGAAAGAGCAACAGCAAAAGGCAGGAAGAGGAACGTGAGAGGAGAGGACAGAAAAGCTGGCAGAGATGAGGGACCTGAAAAAGAGACGCCTAAGCGCAAAAAGAACACGAGGAACGAACGAGCCAAGAAGCGAGGTTCTGAAGAAGAGGAAGACCCCAAGAAGAGGAAAAAGAGGGGCAAAAGTGCCAAGAGAGGGGCAGAAGACAGTGATGAAGAAGAGAAAGACAAGAAAACGGGGAAAAAGGACACAAAGGGAAATGTAAAAACAAATGACAAAAAGGCAAAGAAAATCAAGAAGAAAGTAGAGTGCAGGTAAGATCATATAGGTGATGTTTGGAAAGTAAGTTCTATAGAATTTCCACTGAGTAGTGATTGCAAAAGTGAGAGGTATGAGAGATAAACTGCATGGTGCCTTGTAGAATTCTGAGGTAAGTCATCTTCACAAAGTAGATAGAATAGTACTACTATTGAATAGCACTACAGTCCTTTCATCCATTTTTCAGTTCCGTTGGGAAAGAAGAGGATTGGAATAAATTCCTTCCTAGGGAGATAATGACGCTGTTAAGAAATGTTAGTTTTGAAATAGATTTAAGAAGCATGGTAAAAACAGTGCAGTAAATGTGTATGCAAGAACATTTAACACTAATAAACATGTCTGCTGTGTAGAAGAACTAAAATTAGACCTAATGATGCTGTCGGACCTACTGTGGTCAAATTCTATCCAAGAAAATCAAGAGGAACGTAGAGCAGACCAGAAAAGCCCATGTAATATCTCTATACGGAATACTTCTGAAACTTCTTAAAGTGATGAGATTAATATTATTTTATAGTTTTAGCCTTAATCCTACTTTACTACAAAATTGTTAATGTTGATTATACAATATTCCCATGAAAACCCTTTGCTTATAATCTAACAAACTTTTAATGAAAAAGATTACCTGGTAAAACCAACTGTTATAAACTAGAAATGTATTGGATTTGTGCGTTTAAATATAAAATACCTACATTTATTTATTGATATTTGTATATATCTTTACACAGATCAACGTTATTCGTAGTGTTTGATTCATTGTATAAATGCTTAAGTTCCTTTCATATAGTTATGAGTACATTTATGAGTAACAGAATAACAGTATACTCATTTAGTAAGATTGTCCCATAGTTCTCATTACACTGCAATCAAACATAATGATTTTTCTTTTATGTAGAAATGAGCGTCACATTTTTATATACCACATCCAGACCTCCTCTGTCTACTCTTTCAGTTCGGATTCTGAGGAATCTTCTGAAGTAGAAGATGAAGTCATTACTGAGGAGGAATTGGCAAAGCTGAAGGAGGCAGTTGAAGAAAAAAAGAAGTTAATTGTTACTTTGAGAAACAAACCATGGCGAATGAAAAGGAAACTTGAGACTTTGAAGTAGGTGATTTGTAGTTACAAATATAGAACAATCTTTTCCACAACCTTATTGTTGACTTGTCTCAATGTATTCAGATCAATGTTAACATTAACATAAGAATGATTTAGAACATAATATATGTACTATTATCTTATTTACAACAATGTATTGATTTACATTGTAAGATTTTCAGGGAAACTCAAAGCCGCTTAGTCTCATTATTATGAAAACTGGTCCTCTAAGACTTACAGCCTTCTGAAGGTAGCCATGACATTAACTGTTATGAATGCTGTAAGGATAATGCAAGCGCTGGTTGGGTATTGTGAAATTGATATCACTACTGTACGAAGATGCAATGCTTTGAATGTGCTTAAAGCTTATCAGAAAATCAGTCAACATTATCAGTAAACAAAGTCATGGAATAAATGTTGCAAGCCCCTTTCAATCAAGATAATACCGTTACAGATGTTTTACAGTGGTGGGAAGATATTTTTGCACCCTATAAGAATACAACTACGCCAGTGTAATTTTGATTACCTGTATCTGGCCCGTAGGGGGCTTCATTGATAACTAATCTGGGCTGAATTTCACAACTGTACTCACTCGTTCCACATAAAATTGCACTATATAGGTAGTGTTACTGTCTTACAACTAGTGTGCTCTGGCTTCACCTCCATTCCGGCACACCTTTTATGCGGAGTTTGTATGTTGTTCCTGTGCATGGGTTTTCTCTAAGTGCTTCAGCTTCCTCCCATCTTCCAAAGGTCTGCAGGGTAATTGGTTTCTCCTCATGTGTTATGTGTGTGCGCGCCCTGCAATGGACTGGTTACATTCAGGGTGTGGTGACATCTTGCGTATTAAAATTGAGTCTTCCTTGTTAATATTCGTCCATATCAGCGTGTAAAGCTGACTCAGTAGGATTTATACATGGAATACTGTACGTACACTGATATTGTTTTGCAGTGTGCAAATGTTTGTGTCCAGTTTAATTTTAAGTATCTGATTAGTTTGGCCCATATTCACTGCTTATGCTCACTCAGGGAAGCTCAGGAGTTTGTCGAAAAATTTGAAGGTGCCCTCGGCAAGGGAAAAGGAAGAAAATTTTATGCTTACAAAGTGATGATGCTTAAGGTAAGGTTAATTTAATAACGCGTTTTTCAGATCAGGAAACCGCAATGTCAAATTTGAAATGTGTGTCGTACTTAAAGAAATAACATTAATAACCAGTAAAATGTATTCGCAATACAATTATAGAAGCAATATGTTTTTATTAATGAAAAGAATTCCACTTGCAAAAAAAATATTTCACACGGTAAAATGTGCGTTCTTGAAGCCCAAGAATTCATTTTTCTTTTCCGACAGCACCATCTAGCGACCAAATTAAAAATTCTCTTTGTTCTTTCAGAAATGGATGAAATTTCAGCGTGATTTTGAAAACTTTAGAACTGCCTGTATACCTTGGGAAATGAAAATAAAAGAGATTGAAAGTAAGGTCTTTGAGTCTAATATGTAATGCCACTTTGTAGTTCCAAAAACACAGTTTTGTTAACATTCCAGCCGGAATCCATGAGCAAACTAAGGTGTTAACCGTGGCTTCCCTGTACATGCCTTTGATGTTGCATTATCTGTCGTAAATTTAACATTTTCTGTGAAAGATCATACAAGAATTGAATTAAACGCATGCTGAATTGAGTGGTTTGCTCCCATTTTGATTTACAAAGAATCAAATGATTTGCAATATGTTATAATTAAATCGTCCTTATCACTTATAATTGAATACATTTAATGATAGTAATTGCATCAATTTTGTCCTATGTATTTATTTAAATTAATAATTAATCAAAAGCAATCTAAAACCTTAATATAATATATAATATAATATATATTATAAAATATTAGTAATATAACATCACAAGCTTCTCCTCTTCCAGGCCATTTTGGTTCCTCTGTTGCCTCCTATTTCATTTTCCTGAGATGGATGTATGGAATCAATATGGTGTTGTTTGGATTAACGTTTGGCCTTGTTATGGTCCCAGAGGTGAGAAACCTTTCCTTGGTGGTGGTACTCCAATTATACTCCTCAGTGTGGAACTCCTCAGAGTGCATTGTGCATACAACATGGCTTTCTGTGAGATTTAATTAGGGTTGTTTTGCATGGATACACAAGATAAAACACAATTACAATACACAGAGGAGACTGTGGATGATGGTACCAAGTATAGTAGGAGCAGAGGGGTAAAGAATGGAACCAGTTAAGTAAAGGCTTTTCTAAAGAGGAAAAATGTGGGACACAATTAGATTCTATAACAATAGGAAAACTATCTCTTATTTACAGATAAGTTACTATTGGGCATCAGCTGTATCAGCATAGAACACATATTTTCACTTAAGTTGAGAAACAAGTGGAAACCTTGAGCCTGGTGGACAGTACATACACACACAGTAGCAGTAAAGTCAATTAAAAAGCCACAGGCACAGTGGACCACTGAGCTTCATCAGTGCCACCCACTTAGGTGCCTAGAGATAAGACTTGATCGCATCACGACACTAGACAGCCTGTCCTGAGTTCTCTATCTTTTTAGGTAGTAATCTCATTAAAACCACCTGCATATGATTTATTTTACAACCTAATATGAATTCATGCACATATTTTATTCTTTAAACAGAAGTTCCTATGCTGCCCTCTAGTGGCTAAAACCGACATAGACACTCCAGAATTCAGCTGCTCTGCTACAGATAAATTCAAAAAGATACATTACAAGCCCCATGTAATAAGGCTTTATGTGTCAGAAGGAGAACTCCACCCTTCCACCGTTCCTCCACTGCTGCTTTGGACTGTATAAATAATATCATTATAGGTCAGATAGGTCATAATAAGTCAGTGATGCCAGTGGGAAATTCAGATGCACCCAACATATTCCAGGAACTTATTTGCTGTTGTCAGAGTAGTCAACAGAATCTGATTCTAGATCTGTGAAAAACTTAGAGTCATTGTCTAGTAAGAGTGCCGAGAGAACAGGGAACATCACTATTTAGAACAGAGAATAATAACGAAGTACCTTGCTTCTCAGTATATCCATATCCAGGCACTCCCAAAACCTGGGTGAAGAAGTACCCACAGTACAACCTGCACAGTACACACAGAGGGAACAAGGAATGAGCTTCATACAATATTGTCTATTAGGGGACACACACGCTCAGTGAAGAAAAATTAAAGAAGTCCTTTGATCTTGGAGGCAGAATATATTCCGTACTGTGTGTTTTACAAAATATCTGCATCTTAAATGTTATAGGTAACCATTAATGATTGAGGTAAAGCCTATAAGAAAGATAGAAGCAGCCAATCCATTAATTTTGACACTGAGGAGAAACAGTTATGCATTGGGTGAACTTGGTCCTCTTGGTCTTCTGGTATGGAGATAGAAATATCACAACAAAGAGCAGTCCAGAAACCTGGATAATGGTTGCAAATGCTGGAACTAGTGAATGTCATCCTCATCAAAAAAATATCTGCTAAAACATCAGTCTCCTTCTTATTCAAATGTTGATTTCTTGCTCAAGTTCATGTTTATTGTCACATGTACCCAAGTACAATTAAATGCTTACTGGTGCGTTTTCCTCACACGACAAAATGACATAACAGACAACATAAAATATGACATAACATTGACATAGAAAATGACTTAACAAATGATATCACAATTCTTGGAGACAGAAACAGGGAAGCAGCTGTAGTTTCAACCAACATTTAGATAGCAGCTGTGTGCAAAATTCAAGTGGTGGCAGTATTTTCAGTTCAGAGCAAATCAGAGGGGTGTAATTGGAGAAGGATTTAAGGGGTGGAGTTTAGGAGTTTAGGGGGTAGAACTGACAGAAGACCAGTAACAAAACTGCAAAGGAACAGGAAAAGGTTCATCCCATGATGAAAGGCAAAAAAACAGAAACTACCTTTCAGCTATGGAGTTCTTTTCAGGTGAGAAGAAGGCTCCACAGCTGAAAGGTAGTGTTTCAATTTGTTTTTACCTTTTACCTTTTTTTACTTGTAAACAGCAGTTGAGAAAGGTAAAGGTTTCCTTACCTTTCAGAGTGGAATGAACCTTTACCTATGCCTCTGCAGACTACGCATGTTGATGCAAGCTCCCTACTTGAGCATAGTAAAGAAAACTGCCTTAGAAAGAAAGACAGTGCAGTCATTGTTTATAAAGCCAGTCCAGACCAGCACACCAGCATGCCTCTGTTCCTGCAATGCTACTCTTCTATGGTGTTCCATGTGGTGGTACAGAGTTTCCTTTCCCCCTCATTTGTCCTCATTAGAAATCAGTTTCCTGACCGACTCTTGAATTAAATGTACTTTCAATTTCCGAGGCAGAAATGCTTAACTACTAGTTAAAGATGTGATGAAAAGTTGTATACTTACCTGTGCATCAGACCACGAAACATGGATGTACATACATATGAAACTATATGAAACTGTTTTCATTTGAAGGCTTTAATGGGAAAGCCATATGGAAGCATGCCTAGGAAGACTGTCCCAAGGAGTGAGGAGGCCACGGCTATGGACTTTGCTGTCTTGTGGGATTTTGGGGTGAGAATCTTTATAACAACTCTGGATGTTATTCTGCCCCCTCTGTGAATTCTAAATATTTCATTAAAAAGAGCACAAACTCTCCCTAGAAATGTTATATTTAAGAGCAAAAAGAATGGTTTCAAATGAGAGGAGGCCATTTGATCCCTCTGGTTTGTTTCAGTAGCTTATTGGTCCAAAGATCTCATCCAGCCATTTCTTGAGGGGTGTCAGGATGTAAGCTTCAACAACATGGTTGTGTTGCTTGTACTATACCCCACGTAGCGCTTTGTCTAAAGAAAAGCCTCCAATCTACTTGTATCCTCTAGTTCATCTTTCACTGTTGATTCTGAAGAAGATCATGGAAAAGACCTTGCCAGTCCTTGAGGATTTTGAATACTTGAACCAGATTCCCTCCAGTTTAGTCTTCTCTGTTTGAGACTAAAAAGGGATTCTTTAATCCAGTCAGTTTAGGACTTTTCTTTAAGCCCCAGAATGTATCTGGTTGCACTTCTTGGACTAATTCTAGAGCAGCAATATATTTCTTGTATCTTGTTGACCAGACTTTTACACAGTATCTAAATGAGATTTTACTTATGCATTGCATAGTTGTGATATAATATTCCCTTTTATTGCTTCCCCACATTGTCTAGAAGAAAGAAATGGATGGAAATATGTCTAGACATATTCAAGTACTTATGTCTACTCAATGTATATATGCATCTCACAGATTTAAGCACAAATAACGGGTAATAACAGGTAATATTACTGCTTGGATTTCAGTTTTGGTTATCTGAAGCAAGGCTTTGTGTTCAAGTAAACATGCTGGAGATGGCTCTGTTCATTGCGTTCTAGGGATATGCGCAATACTCAGTATTGTTCTACGGCTACTACAACAATCAGCGTGCTGTTGGATGGCTTAAGTTCCGAATGCCTTTGTCCTACTTTCTAGTGGGTGTTGGAACAATTGCCTACAGCTTCATGGTAGTAATAAGAACGTGAGTATTCATTGCATCACATTAAATACACCCCACATAGCAAAACACCTACATTTATCATTTCAACACCTCAAACTGGCTGGGATCAGCACAACTGTTGCACTGACTAGTGCTTTTATCATGCCAGGAGACACATTAGGTTGTCAATATTGGTTTAGATTTAGAAAAAGGTCTAAATATCACGGTTTGTTCATAAGATAGATAAAATGTCATACATGCTGCACTTTACTTTATTTTGGTAGTAATGTATTCTCCTGTCTTTCGGATGAGACTTTTAACCGAGGTCCTGACTCTCAGTGGTCATTAAAGATAACAGGGAATTATTCCGGTTTCCTGGCCAAATTTCCTGCCTCAGCCTTTACCGTGGCCTCCAAACTGTCCCCATGTATGACTGGCTTGCACTTGCCCTGCGATGGACTGGCGCCAAATCCAGGGTGTACCCTGCCTTGTGCTCATTGCTTGACGGGTAGGCTCTGGTTTCCCGTGACACCGTATGGTATAAAGCAGTTTGGCAAAAGACATGACATGACATGTATTCTCCAAAACATCTGCCCCTTGACATGCAGCCAAATTGTCACTGAAACATAAATTAAACCTAAAGGGAAACCTGGACACCTTTCTTTTGATATTTGCTTCCATGTATTTCCTTATTCTTGTATTTCTTAATATAGTAGTTCTTCATATGCAAGACAATTAATATATTAAGCTTAATTTTAATTAATTAATCAATCAATTAATGAACTAATGTTTTACTATTGATAAATGTCGACAATTACTGTATAGCCATGGTCTGCACATGGAGATATTACATGTGCCTTCACAGAACACTTTAACTACCACTTTTAAGATATGTTTAAAATTTAAGATGAGGAAAAATTGTGAAATTTTAGTTGTTGTTAAAGCCATGATCACGCCATTTAATTGTACAGGGCCGCTTTTTGGTATAGTATTTCAAACCTGATAAAAATGAATGTGTATGTGCGAGCTTTGGGTTCCCACAGAATGGCCCGGAATGCAAATGAAGAAGGTGGAGGTGATGACACAAGCTTCAACTTCAGCTGGAAAATGTTCACCAGCTGGGATTACCTCATTGGCAATCCTGAGACAGCAGACAACAAGTTTGCTTCTATAACCACTAGCTTTAAGGTATCTGATGACTAAAACAATCTTGTTGCTTTGCAAAACAAATTTATTTTTGCATTTAAGTGAGAATATGTACTGTTATTTTTTAACCTAAAGTGTATATACTTACTTCAGAGTCAGGGCTGGTACTATATATTTCAAAACTATAAAGTGTGTGACATGCCCTTACCTATTCAGAGTCATTATATATTAACCATAAAATGTTCTTATGTTTTCTGTGAGCATCACTGAGTTTCATCTGTCACTACCTTTGCTCTATATTATAGAATTTGCAATTAGAGCTTACACAGAACTATTTTAGAAATGTGCTTCCTTAAAGGCGTCACGGACGTCCAAAGGGACTAACAGTGGGGAGCAGGAGAGCGGAAAAAGACCCATATGCGTAGAGGCGAGACAGGAAAAAGGCCCGGGCTCATTAGTGCAAAGAGTTCAGGAATGCCGTATAGAAACCTGTGCCCTCAGGGAGCGGACGTGGGGCGCCCTGGTGCTAGGCGGGTCTCAGGACATCCGAACGTCAATGCTGAGCGAGGACAGAGTGCAAGACCCGGAAATATATAGCCCAAGGGAAAGAGAGGGACAGGAAGGACAGCAGACCGGAAACTAGGGACAGGACCGAGAAGGCTGCAGAGGGCGTGACAAAAGGCCCAATTTCTTTAGTAATCTTTAAATCAGTAACTGCATGCATGTTACTAGTAGTTAATAGTGCATTGAAAAGAAATCACTTATATATTCAAGAAATATGATAATAAAATACAATAGAAACCTTTGGAACTGTTTTTGAATTGTTCTTAAAGATTAACTGAATTTGACTTGAACATAAATATGGACAAGGTGAGACTTGGGAGATGAAGAAAATGTTAACTTTATTTTGAGGAGAAAAAGTAAGGTGACAGATGAATTCAAAGAACCTGTATTGGATTTGACTGTGACTATATTGGGATTAAATGTCTAGTCTTTTAGGTTCCAAAGTTTAGACAGAACTGGCACCTCAGTACCACCTGAAGGAGACTACATTTCAGCTTTGAGTGCATTCTCCTTATATTCACTGGTTTGTCTCTTTGTGCTGTGTAAAAGCTGCCACTGTTAATGCCGACTGCCACTGTTTTTGCTTCAGAGAAGGGCACAGGTCTCTTTAAAATCTGAAATGGCTTTTCTTTTCCTCACAGGAATCCATTGTTGAAGAGCAGGAAAGCCGTAAAGAAGAAAACATTCATTTAACTCGCTTTCTGCGAGTGCTTGCTAACTTTCTCGTACTCTGCTGCCTCGCTGGGAGTGGATACCTCATCTATTTTGTGGTGAGGAGGTCTCAGAAGTTTGCTCTGGAAGGCCTGGAGAACTACGGCTGGTGGGAAAGGAATGAAGTAAGTTGAAATGCATGATGAATACTAGCCATCAAAGTCAAACGTGAATGGATTTTTGTGGGGGTTGTGGCCCTGGCATACTACTCAAGTAACAGAGATCCTTTAATAGGCAGGGCTTGGGGAAACGATACACACAAATGCAGCAATCCTGTCAAAAAGTGTTCTTAAAAGTGCAAGAAAAAAAAGCAAAAAGAAAAGTCTAGCTCTGTCTGAGCTCTAACTAAACCTTTTCACTCTATGAATGCAGCTGGGCAGCTGAACCCCTTCACAGCTTCAACACAAATCTCTCTCAGAAACATAGGTGAACTGGGCAACTGATGTTGTTGAGGGCCCCCTCAAGTCACTATAGCGACACTTTCTGTTGTCGCTGTGAATTATCCTAATGGAAGACCAGTCGATAAATGACCAATCTTAACTGAGGATTATGTCTTAACTTAACATAATATGTTTCTAAAGTGCAGAAAAGAAGACCAGGATAAGTAGTTTCAAGACAGATGTATGCTCCAGTCTTTGTAATAATGCATAATATGCATATGAATGTTATTTGTATTTCATTTGGTTTTGAGTCGGTCAGATCCATGTAATTAGTAAATGGTAGACATATCACATTTTCAAACTGGACACACAGTCTACTTGAGGCTTTTTACTGGAAGTTAGCAGATTCAAGTATCCTGCCATTGTACATACAGTATGCTGTGTGGGTCCCCTGACTAAATATTGACGCTTTTCGGCCAAACAAAAGCGTGAAAGCAAATGAACAGTAAAAAAAGACTGTTCAATGATTATACATAACCAGCATTGAAATGCATTGTTTTCCTTGCGGGTTCTCTGTGTTATATTAAATGGGGGTGTTGTAAACTCAACCTGTACCCCTTCGGATTGCAGTCGCTCTCCCAGTGACAGTGGCAGGAGCAGATAGGAGGTTCTTGATGTTGATAAAACATACCTCGGGTCAGCCATGGCACAAGACCACCATAGTGGACTGGTCATCATGAGCATCAATCCTGCAGTGTCGACTACTATCATGAAGCTGTAATTGATGGTGTTGCCTCCTGAAAATCTAGGCAATCTTATTTATAGAATGTTTTTTTATAAAACATTCCCATATGGTTAGACATTCTGATCTCACCTTTTACTGAGTGCACTTAGTTAATTACATACCTGTATCAATTTCTAGAATTCCTTTTCAGTGCAAAGGTTTCAGTGCAATGATTTGTAAGCTATGATTTGCTATCATTTACCTATTTATTACTTTCGATGTTACAATACATGTTATCCTTGTAAAATTTGTGCTTCTTGTTCTTGTTTGTAACGTATTTATTGTGTGTTCTTCAAATCTGGTTAATAAAGGTTTTCTAATTATATCATAAAATTATTTATTGTATGCACAAATTGTGATCTGGAGGGGCCCCTTTCCAAGATTTTTCCTAAGGCCTCAAAAAAGCTAGGGCCAGCCCTGCTCAGACACCTTCAAAAAATTTATCTCAAATAAAAAAGCACACATCCGGGGGTCTGTCAGTCCTTCAGTCACTTCCTCGTTCATATGTATTCTCAGAGGCTCTGCTCACCTCCTGTGTTAATGGTCAATGGCCAGACAAGAAGCTTCCTGCTTCCTGGTTTTAACTGTTACACAACAAATGGTCTTCCTCCAATTGATCAGAAGACAGAAGATGGCAGGTCATCCCCCCCCCCACTGCTTTCTGGGAAATGTAGTTCTAACAAAAATTTACATCTTGTCTTCATCTGCCACCCTATGACAAAGCATGAATTCCACAACATTTATATCTATCTACTCATTATTACAATATCTTCTCCAACATTCCACAAAAGGAGAAGTAAATTGTTCCTCACTTTTTTTTAATCTCGAGGACTTTTATAAAATTGACTTTAGACAGAAATGATTTAAATGCTTCAGACATGTAAAGGACTGTGTTGTGTTGTGTTTCCTTTGTCAGGTGAATATGGTGATGTCATTGTTAGGAATGTTCTGTCCAACATTATTCGATGTCATCAGTGCTTTGGAGAACTACCACCCTCGAATCGCTCTGCAGTGGCAGCTTGGACGCATCTTTGCCCTTTTTCTAGGAAACCTGTACACCTTTATTATTGCTCTCATGGATGAGATCAATCTTAAAGTGAGTCTAATATTTAACATGTACTGTAGTTAAAGATTTCCATAGTTTTACTGTGTAGTTATACATTTCCATTTTTTTTAATATGTAGTTAAAGATTTCCATTTAATCTTTAGACTATATAGTAATGATAAGCATTTCCCTGAGGTAATATTACTGATACCCCATCGTTCTCTTATGCAGATTGAATCAGATCATTACACTACTAATGTCCGAGTCCATATAATCAGAATTAGAATTAAATGGTAAATAAATATATTTTAATGAAAGATGAAAACCAAAAAAATGAAAAAAAATAATTGTAACCACTGGCTGGAAAGATCCCAAACGAATGTTTTAGAGAGAGGCTTATAATATGGCTTACAGTAGTTTGTTGTTTTAATACTGTATATCATGACATGATACAGCAGAGAGAGAGAAAGAGAGAAAGATCTTTCTGACTACTGTGATAATGAATTGCTTTATATTCATATTCTGTAGCGAGAAGAGGAGGAAATAGTCAAGTTCAATATGACAATATGGGAAGCGGGTCTCTACAATGGGACTTCAACTGGCAATGCTACTGCCCGTCCGATACAAGTGGATCCTGCTGACGTGCCAAGGGGTCCGTGCTGGGAAACCATGGTGGGGCAGGTAACAGATGTCTCTATATATAACACTGCTTTCTACAGCAGGTCAAGAGGATCAACTGACTGACATGGTTTCAGGCTTTCATTGAGATGTCTTTATCTGGGTGTTTTGTTAAGTGAAGACACAAAACCCTGCAATGCTACTACTTATGACTTTGAATGACAATGCATATATTGTTTAACACAACCTCCTTGTACAGAAAAACATTGCAAAGAGTTACCATGTTACTACAGCAGAGACTGCTTTTCTTTGATAAGGAGACAAGCATTTACAGCTCGATTACTTTGATGTAATAATACATTTTACAGCTTCACTAGCGTCAACATCAATAGATCATCACTGATCTGGAGTTGTTTTGTCGTTGTAGAAACTTCTAGCTAGGTGGGTGATCTATTAATTTCGTTAAAATACAAAATGGCTAGGTGGTAAAACAAATTAAATTTAGCAAAGAAAGCTCCTATACAAACATTGGAATTACATGGTATATTAAATCACCAGTAGCTATTGTAATCAATCAATTTAATTCTATTAAAGAATTCTCAAGGCACTCTACTCTCCTATAACACAATACAATGCATAAATTATGAAAGAAAGGCATATGTTAGGTATTGAAGGCCATTAAATAGAAGTAAGTAAACAGAAGACAGACTGTGCAGTGGCTTTGGATAACAAAATCATTTTAAAGAAACACTGGTAGCCAGTGTAGCTTTTTTCAGCACAGGAGAAATACAGTATGTTTAGATTTTTTTAGATTTGGTCAGCACTTGAGCAGTACATTTCTGGACATATTGTAGTTTCTGGAGTTATTTCTGAAGATCCAGGTAGCAAAACATAATAGTAGTCTAGTGTTAAGGAAATGAAGGACTGAACTAGTTTCTCAGCATCAATAAGAGAAATAATTGGTCTTAAACAGGATATGTTTTGTAAATAGAAGAAGGATGCACTACAGACTTACATGTGACTCAGGAGACAGGGAAGGGTCAACAATCACCCCTACATTTTCAATAGAATTTGGGGGAATCATTTCTGTATTGAGTTTCAGACAGTCTAAGTTTGTGACTTGATGGGAAAAATGTCCCTAAATCTCTGTCCCGTAGTTATTTGTTAGGAGGGAGACAAGAAGTCATACTTCATTAATGCTGCTCTCTCAGCAATAATCAGATCAGTCCAGAATGCTCTTTTACACTGATATATCTGTGTCTCATTTCTGTGGAATTTATTCTAAATTCTGTATTTCACAGTATCAGTTTAAAAGAATAAACAAGAAATTAAAAAAGTATTCAGATAATGATGTAAAGTTGTCTTCCACATCTAACCACATCTAAAAATCTGATCTGTAACCTCCTACCTGTAATGAGTTTGTGTTTTTAAGGGGAACATGCTGTCGACTCATTATAAACCATAAGAAACAAGATCGTCGGAAAAGGTCAATTTAATACATCTGATTTATTTTTTATTTATGTTTTATAAAATCTTTTTTTATGTGTTGATAGGAATTTGTGCGGCTCACCATTTCTGACACTATGACCACATATATAACACTCCTGATTGGAGACTTTCTAAGAGCCGTCTTTGTACGATTCCTCAATTACTGCTGGTGCTGGGACTTGGAGTATGGGTTTGTAAGTATCTCTTTTTGTGGTGTCTAGAGCCCGTTTAATGTGTTTTTTTTTTAAATAAGATGTACCATAGTATACCACAAAGAGAAAAATACACTTCCACTTGCTCCATTAAAAGTTTATGAACATGAAAAACAGGTTGAGACTTTCTTTGTAATACTGTCACAAAAGCCAATAAAACATTTTGTATTAAATTAAAAAATGTGCCACGAAAATCAGTGCCTTACTTGAATGTCCAGACAGGTACAGTGCAGAGGGCAATGTAGATACCAGTTCTTAAGGGCATAAAAAAAGACTGCAAGTGAGATGAAGTCATTTGGCTCATCTTATTCATTTGATTCTTAGAAACTATTAAATCCAAGGATCACACATTGCTGTTTCTTGACAGAAGGTAGGACATCTACTTCAACAACAAGAATGGGTAGCTTCTCCCAAGCTCACAATACCTCTTGTATGAAGAAGAAAGACCTTTCCTTCTTTAGTGCACTTCAGTGTTTTAAAATGCACTTCACTTTAGTTTCCATTTCTGTCCACTGTTGGGTTGACTTTGGCAATGCCCTTTTCAATTCCAAATACTGGAATCAAATCCCTTGAAGTTCAGGGTTCAGAAAAAGTATTTTATCTTGTCAGTGTAGGACTTTCCTTTAAATCCAGGAATGCATCCGATTGCTTATCTCTGCACTGATTCCAGAACAGCCATTTCTTTTTTGGACTATGGTGACCAAAATACACAGTGATGCTGTACACAGTATTTTACATGAGGATAGGCCAGTGCATTGTACAACTGTAACATAACATCTCTTGATTTGCATTTTCCACTTTTCAGTATATATCCAAAGATTCTGTTTGCTTTCCTTCATTGTCCATATAGAAGATGAAAATGAGGTGGCAACGTAAACTCCTAAATCTTTTTCTTAAGCAGCTTCTTCAAGGTTTCACATCTTATGTTTATACAGCCTGTATGTAACACTCTGCACTTGACTATATTTTTCCAGTTTACATCATCTCAATTCATTTATAAATCATTTTGAATTTCCTTTTGCAGTTTTGCACTCTTTGCTAAACCTCTTGTTTTCCTGTCATCAACAAACATGACTAATTTAGACAACATGAATTAAGAAGATTGGTGTACTTAATACATATCCATGTTATGATGAACGATATTAAAAGTCCTATGACCCTCTACTTTAGATGCAATAATCCCAACCCCAACCTTTCAAGTAAAAAAATCAAGATGTACTGACATGTAATTACTTCAGTTTTGTTACCTTTTTATGGGTGGGTGCTCCATTAGCAATTTGACAGGCAAACTCTTGATATTGTATAATAAATTGTAGTTTAATGCCTTAAACATTATTCCAAAGCTCTGTTCATTCCAAAAGGTAGGGAGGGATGTTTCATTATTACTAATTTACTAATTATGCTAAAGTATTATTAATTTATACTTATTATGATAATTTACTTAATTATATTAAAAAGTAACATAAATTAATACACATCTAATTTATATGAAAAATAGAGAACATAGGAATACATAAACCTGTAATTCTGAATAGTCCTTGTTTGGCAAAGTGTGAAAACACCATTTAGGATTTAGACCAGAAGATGCAGATCAAAATATTAAAAACACCAGAGGTAAATCATGTTAAACATAATCTGGAGGATACAACTCTTTATCTAATTTCTATTAAACAGTTCCCTTTAACTTAGAAATGACTTTATATTGTGTCACATATTCTTAATTTTCTAATTATTTTCTTTTTTCTCAATTAAAGCCATCCTACTCGGAGTTTGATATCAGTGGGAATGTACTTGGTCTGATTTTCAATCAAGGAATGATATGGTATGAACAAATGTTTCATGATTTTGTATCACAGTACCACAAATAAACCAATTAATATACAATGCAGCATCATTTATTAAAGATAAGTGACTATGAGCTCTGTTCAGAACCAAACGTACCATAAAAGCAATATAATAATGACAGACTAGTAAGCACTAGCATGTCCTTCCAACAGGATAATATATATGGACAGCCTAACATCCGTGATAGTAAAAACTGTACGAATAGGTTTATCCTTAACGTATGTTACAAATGTGTAAAATTAGCAAGGGAAAGGTAGTGTAAGATACTATATATATCTAATATGTCTACATATACTGTTTAAGCAATATTTAAATATATATTATATAAAGAAGCAAACACTTAAATCAATAGAATGTAATAATTTGCGTTTTTCAGTATGGGTCCTGAAAAAATAATGGAATCAACCTTATCCTCATTTGTATATAAGTACAAATACCATATCACATACTGCATATATGTGCAAACATATTTGATGATAAGATATACACGTAGTTAACAATCTGGGGACAACTTCGTTGAAATAATGTGGATTAAGTACTGTGTCGTTAACTGTGTTCGGCGTTTCTCGGTAGGATGGGCGCCTTTTACGCTCCCTGCCTCCCGGCCATCAATGTCCTGCGGCTGCATGTGTCCATGTACCTGCAGTGCTGGGCTGTAATGTGCTGCAACGTTCCTCAGGAGCGAGTCTTCAAAGCCTCTGGGTCCAACAACTTCTACATGGCCATGCTGCTCGTCATCCTCTTCCTGTCAACACTGCCCACCGTGTACACCATCGTTTCCATCCCGCCTTCTTTCGACTGCGGGCCCTTCAGGTGAGCTTCAGCAGAAAAGCGGATCTCCTGATCCGAATGACGAAGGTCAAGTGGGAAGCTTTTGGTTCACCCCTGAAAAAGCTCTACAGCAGAAACAGCTGCGTTTCTACTTTCTGCTTTCCTGGGCGGAATTAAATTTCACTTGTTCCTGTTATACTGTACTTTTACCATCTTACGACTGATACAATACAACTCCAGTAGAGGGCACTGTAAGATAGGTCTACAGTGCTCTTGAGCTCCGACCGGCACCTACATCTTCAGAAACAGCTCGGCGAAGTCCATTTCCAGCACACAACCACACTCACTCCTACTAATAAGTAAATGTTGTAAGGAAACAGTGTATAAAGGAATCTGCCTGTGCAAAACGAGTATGTTGCCCAGTTTATCGTGTGTTATCATTGCTTTCCCTTTTAATTCTTTTTTATTTTCCCCTTCAAGGGTTGATACAAACTTGTGCAACCCCTGAGTGCTTAAGAGCACATTCCACAACATCCCAACATATCTTTGTATAATGACCCATGAAAGCATTATTTACTTAATGTTAACACAAAAGATTACTTGGAGTTCTTTACTATAATAAAGCTTTTTTTTAACTATTAACTGTACTCTTCTATCATAATCCACATATTTTACAACCTCTGTTGTTAAATTATTTGACTGTTCTTACTTATTTACTAACCCAACACCAAGGCTAAGGGATTTAGGCATAATTGCTTTTTAAAAAGACTCCAATACCAGAGAAATGCTCATCACGCACGTATAGCGGTTTGATCCAAATTGACACCAAAACCCACTGCTGTTCTAAGCACGAGGGTCAAGTTGAACGTTTTGAAAGCTTTCCAGGTTATTCAGTTATGCTAGTCTGTCTGTGACTGCTGAAGTGGTAGGAGGGTTCTTCTGTATAACTGTAGTCTACAGTAGTTTTGCTTTTCTGGTTTTTTTTGGGGGGGGTTACCACAATTTCTTCATTTTATGAATTTTACCTATGGATGGAAGAATTGAAAAAAATACCTTTTATCAAGTAAAAAGGTAATAGTTTCAGCTGACTTGCCGCTGGAAGACGTTTAGGCCTCTATTTGTAGGTTCGCATGTAATGAGTTAATTGATGAATTAGATAATTGGTGAAGGGCTGAGAGCCTCATTCTAAGAGCCTCACATTCACATCGGTTTAACTTAGACTAGTGTGGTATATAAAGGGATTCATTATGATAGATTTTTGTTGTTGCGTAGAAGACAGTTTGGGAGACTTAAGTCTCCCAGCACAGATATTTTACATGTCCATTGTGATTGTCCTCAAATCTCGTGAGCTTTGAGGAGGTAGGCCTGTCATAAGCACATTTTTAAAAAGTAGGGTAAATAAAGTCCTACAATTAACCCCTTTTTTCAGTGGGAAAAACAGGATGTTTGACGTCATTCAAGAGACACTAGAAAATGATTTTCCAGCCTGGTTTGGGAAGGTCTTCAGCTATGTATCAAACCCTGGATTGATTCTTCCATTCATACTGCTCATGGTGTAAGTCAATCTTTGATGTATACCTTAATCACACTTTTGACTTTAACACACATGAATGAGTTAGTTGTTAGCCCTTTATAAAATGAACCAATTAGCTTCTGACTACCAGATTGCTAACCTTAGCAGTTTCAGTGAATTTGGTACAAGGTCATTTAGAAAAAGGATACTGACATGGTAGACTAAAGTCCTGTATTTATACCCTAGAGTACAGGTGATTGATTAGAGGATTGGTCTGCATCTTACCCTTTCCTTACAGTTTCAACCAAACATTCCAGCTACAAAACCATCTGAAAATAATTTTGCTTTCAGAGTTTCTTAGCAAATACATAAAAGTGCCATTGTCTTACAACTGATTTGTCCTTGTTCTCTTTTATTTTAACCAGCACTTAAAATAGATTTTATATACTATAGTTTTATATAAAATGTTAATATTTTTTTGTTATCAAAGATTGGCAATCTATTATCTGCAGTCAACATCTAAGGCATACAAGGCTGCCAACCTTGATTTAAAAAAGAAACTTCAGACGGTAAGTACTCTATACTGAATGTTGCTGAATTATTTCAGAATTACATTTCACACAAAACGAGCCATGTTAATAACTGGAAATTGTGCCCTGTTGTTCTACATTTTAAAGCCAATTTAAAACCTGACTGAGGAGCTTTGTCACAGATTTCAAGATATGAATTTTTCACAATGCACATAACTAGTCATTGAAGGGGTTATTACTACTCTGATTTGATTATAGAAGGGGAGTGTGAACTGTGGTAGCCAGGCTATCAACCTGTAGGCCCGATCTTGTTAGATCTGAGAGGCTGGACATGTTCCGTATTGGGAGGGGTGACTTCCAAGGAAAGCCAGATGGAGTTAGCAAGTGATGCTAATGGGACATTAGGTAGTATTGCTCTGTCAGCCGCAGCATGGTGACTAGGAAGACCGTGCTGTCTTTCCGACGAAACATTAAACCTGCGTGATCATTAAAGATTGCCATGGTACTTTTTGAAAGGTTTGAATATTTACCTGGCTAAATTCCATCCTAAGCATCTACCACCTGCTCTCCCCAAGGCTACTAATTCATTCAATCGGTTAAGTAATTTCTTACTTGTTCAGCTGATCTGCTGGGTGGGGAAGCACCTAATGGATCACAGCTGGCTCACCTCCCGTGGGTGGGTGCAGCACATCAGTAGTGGATGAAATGGAGACTGATCTAGATGTGAAAGGATCTGCTCTGGGAACCTTTGGGATCAATAGCGGAATAGACAATATTTGTATGCTTCTTTATACTGAGAACTGTGCTAGCTATAGTATGTAACATCAGGATTAACCCACTAGCTTGAATCTCATTTTTTCATTAATACAAAAAATCACCAACACCTTGGAGCACAGTTGTTGCTATCAGAGGGTGAGAATTGAATCAATTGAACTGATCAGTCACCTATAGTAAGGGATGTATGAAAAATATAAATAGATTTATAATCCCATACTGCATTTGGGCATACTGCATTCCCCTTTATAAATACAATAAATACAAGTTTTACATTGATCTATGTATTTTGATATTCTGAGGGAATAGAATTTCTGAAAGAGAGGCATGCAACCCAGCTTGCAGCACATGTGTGACATTCTGCATTCCAATAACATTATCCAAGAGTATGTTTCCAGTTCATAAAAAGCAGATGTGGTTGTCTTAATTATACTTCCTGTGGCTTTTAATGTAGCAAAATGAAGAAAATAAAAAGAAGAACAAAAAAGCTGCTTTAAAGGCAGCTAGCGATTTAGAAGAAGCTAAAAAAGCAGCTCAAAACGAACCGGACAGCAGACCATCACAGAACAGCACAAAAGGTAAGGTGTTCTCATACTGTAGGATACAAAGTTATATTTTTTGTAACATTTACATATTTAGTGTTGATCTACTGTAGTTTGAGATAAAGACAGAAACTGGGTTATATAAATGTTCACACTATTAAAAAGGATCTTCTTTAATATAAAAAAACGCACACATGCAAATTTCAATAATTCTCTCGGAATAAAATTTTATTAGAACCCTAATCCTTCTAAATAAAAATATTAAGTATCTTATATATTTATAGAGATAGTATATTAATTTTAATATAAATATTTTCAAGGGATAGACCCTAGTCAAATAATTATAAATAATTAATTTGACTAGTACTTTACAGTACTTTTAAAAGTATTTCATATGATCTAAATAGTTTAAAGAATTCCATCAGAAGACTTGTTATCTAAGGCATTGTCAGTCAATACTGAAATATGAGTGTCGTATTAACATCTTTGGTAATCTTCGTTAGAGGAAAATTAATCACTGTCCTTAAATCGTCATATTCTGTTATCCTTTGTGAATTTCGAGTCCAATCATCTTTCTATTCCCTTTTCCGTATGCATAAAAAAGAAAGAAAATATGGCAGTTTTCCTGTGTTCCCATTCTTTGCTGATGAGGTGATCAATGATACTGGGGACCACTTCTTTGTTTTGTCAGAGAAGAAAGTAGCAAGCAGAGAAGGGGAAAGATCCTGTCCTGGACAGAACAACGGACAACTGTACCCTCCAAAAGGACGAGGAATGCGCCACGCAGGACTCCCACCACCCCGTATTGCCCTGACGAGACCGCCAGTGTCTAGGGGACAAGGAATGTCGGGGTATTTACCTGGAAACCCAAGATACCCGGGTCCTAGAATGCCAAGATCTCCAAATACATACCGGTATTGAAATAGTTTACATGGACATGCACTACAACGAGTCACATCATTTCCTTGGTACAGTAGGGTCTTGATATCTAACGTTCACAAATTCGCGATTCACTCTGGCAGATGGGCTCTTCTGTGGCAGAAGAGCAGAGCAGAATAAAACCGAGCCAAAAGTTTTTTTTAACCGCAGTTTTCAAATGAGCAGTTTAACAGACTAGGATCGTGAGACAAATCCAGCTAGTGAGTGAGTTTCTCCCTGGTTCCACATCTACAGTGGTCTTGTTTTTTTACTGTAAAGAACAGTCCCGTTCCTGTGTCGGTGGCATGGGGAATGACAGGCTGGAGATGACTTTACAGGCAGTTTTGTTGCCTTTTTCATTTTCGTTTTTTTCATTTTCATTAATCACGGAGGCAGAAGGAGAAAATGCAGACATCTGCCGGTCGCAGGGATGCATGGTTTTTATTTGAGCAGATTCATGTCATTTCTATTGTGATTCCTGTTAATTTAGTTGATCAACGTTATTTTAATTAACTTAAAGCCAACACATCACCACTTTAATTATCATATAGGGGAGGATTACCTATTTCTTTTAACCACAGGTATTATATACTGTAGTAGATTATGCGAAAGTATATAGTGTTGGACATATTAATACTGTACATTACTATATGTCAGTCTGCCTATTTGTGCCTGTTCTCTGTACCAGACCCTCACGAATGTTGGGACCCTTTTTTACCTACAAATTGAGATTCACTTGAGATGAATAAAAAGTGAAATCCCACTCAGTGTGAATAAGAAACTTTTTTTTAAAGGATATATATAAGTCCAACCTTTTTGGAAGCTTTTTAAATGTTCTAACTTATTTCTATTTTTTATTTACACAGGAAGCAGAGACTATTAACACTTCTCTGCTAGCCTTTTCCTCACCTTCCCATGTAATTTTGCCAACAGCAGGACATGGAGGTTATCAGGGTAATATACAATGTAAAAGAAAAATGTCAATTATTTGTAAATATTTTTTCACCTGGAGAACTGGATTTTCTGAGCATATAAGAGTGGAGGTATAACTGCTTTTTCACAAATAAGATAAGAGAGAGATAAGATTACTTTTATTCCACCCCTGGAGCAGTTGGGGTTAGGGCCTTGCTCAGGGGCCCAACGGAGTAGGATTCCTCTGCCGGCCACGGGATATGAACCGGCAACTTTCCAGCCACAGGCACAGATCCTTAGCCGCAGAGCCGCAGAGCCACTGCACTGCCAAAATAAGTATTAATTTCACAGTCAAAATAACATTGTTTTTCAGCAGAGAGCAGTGTTATATTCAAACTGAGAAAGGCCCGCGCGTGAAGAGGGCCTGATACTCTTGAATAAATCAGATCATTGGTTAGGAAGGCTCATTATAAGCAAGTGAAAGATTAGCGCTTACTCTGTTCAAAAGTTTTGTGAACACCAGTGTTTTGGGAACGATCGTGCTCATGGGGACCCATGACTGTTAGCTGATCAACTCAAACGTGACTGATTTGACGTGTGCCATTATTTGGTGCGACACTGTGGTGCGGAAGCGGATGCATTCGACATCTGTCAAGTTTACCATTCTGGCTTGACATGTTGACCAATGGACAATTGTCTGTGTTTGCGATCACAAAATCATTACTTTTTAAAAAACACCCTTTTAACTTAACAGCTTAGGGCTTCACAATAATTTTAACCCTTTATAATAAAATGTTCATATTTAATACTGCTGTGCTTCATTTTACAACTTTTATTAATTTGCATGAGGCTGAATAAGGTTACCACTGTTTCCATAAAGTACAGCCTGTTGAAAAAAATAATGTATGGAAATACAACAGCAAGTAAAGCAGGCATCAAAATCTTCCCAAAAGTGTAATCTTCCATTTGCAGGTTTTCTGTATTTTTCAAGCTAAAGCTAAACACAGCCAAGCAACAGCTTCTAAGATACTATCCTTATTAAATAAATGGGACTGAAAATATTTTGTTTTTGAGTCTCTACCCTCTCTTTTTCTCTCACCATATGGCAACCCATAACCAGGCCTTGCTGAGCCTGAACCAATTCCATACGTGCTTCTCGCCTGGACCTTTCTATGGTTGGCCAGAGACTTTGAAGCATTTTTCATATTCAAATTTTCACGTCAAATTCACTTTTTCCTAATCCCTAATTTACATTTTACACTTGCTATGTTTCTATATTCTAACAGGTGCATTCATTGCATATCCACTGCAGGTTCCTAAGGCAGCCACAGAGACAAAAGAAAAGTTACAAAGGAGAGGAGGCCAATTTTAGTAACTAGTCGATCAGTATTGTTTACAGATTTGAAGGAAACAAGTTCACCTTTAATAGCCACTGTGTTCCAAACACTGGCCACTCTTTGCACCTGCCTTTGTTTCTACCTGGAGCTCATTATGCCTTTTCCACTGTGGTCAAGAAACCACTGAGAAGCCACAGTTTGGGCAATGTAACAATCATGTTCTGATCAAATAGGTAATCTCCCGCCTTAACTGGCATGGCCAAAATAGAGGATATTTGTTTAACCGCACGTATCTGCTGATTGCTGAAGCAGAGCTTCTTAATTTACGAGCAGCTTACCTGACAGACATGAAGCCTTCAATAATGTGGAGATCAACACACTTAATTGAGGCATTATCAAACCCAGATTAATGCACATCGTCCTCTTCTTTCTTCACACATGAGTGAAAATCATATTTTTCTTGGCTGTATACACAATCACAGTGCAATGCATTTGAGGGATTTCTATATTGCTTAACACAGACTAGGCCAATTTTTGCTAATCACGTGACAGTATCTAAAAGTCTATTCCAAGACAACAATTTCCCTAAAAAGAGGTTTTGTCAGCTCTAGTAGATGGTAATGATTGACATACATCTTTGACATACCCTTTAGTCTCCACACTATTGAGGATCACAGTGTGCATGTCCTCAGAAATGCAAGTAATTCTGTTTATGAGGAAGGGAAAGCAGAAATTAGGGAACAAAGCAATGCAGGATATTGTAATTTAACAAACCTGAAATGTTATAACAGCTTCAAATAACTTTCGTCTTTCACCTTTCAATACTTTATTGTCATAACAATATGACAATATTGCATGGAATTTGGTTCCATGGTAAAGACATATGACATAATATAAAGCCAATAACAGAACGCATCCACCCAACAAGCTCACTCACCATCCTAAACACGCCAGTATTAAAAGATAATACTATTAATATATAACATAATACTGGCCGATTTCCGTTCTAAATATGTGATCGGCGATCGGCTGATATTCCTTTCATTTGGCTGATATTGAGAGCAGTGTTTTAAAATATATGATCCAGATCAAGTCGATGCTATTTGCAATGTTTGTAAAACGAATGTGTCTCGTGGGGGGAGCAACACAAAGAATTTTAAGACAACTAACCTGATACGACACTAAGAGCATATCACCCGCCCGAGTACAGTGAGTATAAGAAACTAGCAGAGCTAGCAAAGACAGTATACCAAAAGTACAACAGCAATAGCCCGAAGGCAAAAGGAATCACGACCAAAATAATGGCATTTATTGCGCTACATAACCAACCATTTTCGGTTGTTGAACATGAAGGATTCTGCCGCTTGATATCTCACCTAGAGCCGCGCTATGCTATGCCTGGTCGGAAATACTTTTCGTATTATGACGTTTGGTCATCTTCATTAGATAAAAGAACTGTTAGACTGCAGCTTGTTACTTCATGTGAGTTGGTTGCAACAATCGTTGTCTTACTTGTTAATAAAACAATTTTAGCTTATACTATCTTTTGTGTCTTTGGCTGGATAGTAACACACCAGCCGATCCGGCTGACAGAAAGTCGATCGGTATGGGGCATGACAAAACCTTGATCGGTCCACCTCTAATTTGAAGAATTTTAAACCAGTTTTAACACCGGTTTAAAATTAACACCGCACAAAGAAAAACAGACTGCTTAAAACAAACATTTCTGACAAGTCAAAAAATCTGTATCTCTGGCAGCCTTTCCTGTTGTCAATATACATGTGGATAATTACATTAACATTTAAATAGTTATGTAAAATTTATGGCCTGTGAACATTAAGAATTTATTTTCTGTCATTTGACTCCTATACAGCCTAGCAAGGTCATGCTATTCATGCCGAGTCTACCCTTGCTGTAATTCCAAATGCGCTAAACTGTTTTAAAGCTTCATTAAAAGGTAATTGTGATCAACATTTAAGGGTTTCATATTTTATTACTAATTTTTCATAAAATGAGAACATGATATTTTCCACTACACTTCTTATATACTGTAAATAATGACATGTACAGTAAATAGACTGATGTTTATTTTATATCTTGTATACATTTTATACAAGATTGTAGTTAGTTCAAAATGTCAAGGAATGAGTATGATTATTATTTAGATTTCTTAACAAATAATATAGATTATTTTTCTTAACTGAAACCTTGAACCTTTGAAAGCCTTTTTATTGTAATCACAAAGAACTGGATCCATTGAATTTTATACAATTATAAAAATATTACGAAGGAGTTTACAAATAATACATTTTTAAACAAAATACACTGAGGAAAAGTAGTACTTGGACAATCACTATTTTTGTTATCACATTTTACAAGGTTGGCATCTGAACAACATAAGCTGTACAACACAAACACATACTTGAAAGATCTCAAAGTCGTCCCTGAGCAGTGTCTAACATGAGAGCTAGTGGATGTGCTCATGTTCTTCTACATTATTCAGCAGAGGCTGCCTGAGCCTTGCTGACCATATGAAACAGTTGTGATAATTCCAGAGGGCAGGGTCTGTGTTCATATGTTTTTGCGTCATTATCTTATTTGTTTTTATATTATACGTCAGGGATCAAATGAATTATGTTAATATCAGCCTTTCCCACATCCCTCCCTATTTTAAAATAATACTTATTGACTCAGAAGTTGGTTTAATCTGATGCATAAGGTAACATAAAACGTCATTAAATCTTTAAGACTCGATTCTTGGACTATGCTGTCACGGTGTTGTATTTCCAGAAAATTACATCAAGGAGAAGAGTGGGAAATTTCCAGAAGCACAGGTGGTATAATGCATTAGAATAATAGTTTCATTTTGAGCAATAAACAAATCCAATTTCAATGATAAAGAAGACATTTTTACTGATTTCTATGGAAAATATAAACCAATTTTGAATATTTTGTTTTATACAAAAATATAAAACCATTTTAGACTTGTATAGAGATATGTAAGATGTATTTGGTCATGGTCATGTTTGTCAGTTAGAAACCAACTTTAACATTCGGTATCCATAATAAACATTTGGTAGACATTTCTAAAAAAATAGAATTGTGGTAAATTATAAAAAAAGGTTTTTGTGCACTGTATGCAGCACTGAAAATGATATGTTGGAAGAATGCTTCCTCAAAGAACAGTATTCTGACTTATAGATTAAAATATTTAGCATAATGTTTTAAACATAAGTATTATTTCAAAGCTCAGCAGAAGATGTTGTAACACTGCAATAAGCATTTATCTTGCGTATAGACACAATTCAGGAGTCTAGAATTATTCAAGTCAAGAGTTAATGTATAAGTTGTTATAATCGTCAAAGTAGTTTACATTTATCAAACCATTGAAGATATTACTAAACTTTGTAACAAAAAAACCTAGTATCTGAGTAAGATTTCTAAACATATTGTTTATGTTTTTAGTTGAATTTTTAAGCCCGTTGCTGTATCTTTTCATTGAACTACAAAGTCTTGGGTCATCGCGTGTTGTGGGCCATCACTGGCAGTAGCCATGGAGACAGCTGGGCTGTAGCTCCGGCTCTCCCTGGACTTTGCAACAGCCATTTTATCACATGAGCAAGGTGATCATTTGTGACTACTGTGCAATTAATCCCAAACTGAATAGGAACCTTGCGGACAAATTGTTCATCAGAAAATTATTCAAACATGCCTAGGAGAACCAAAAGTGACATAGAAATCACAATGGAAGATGGTAAGTACAACTTTGTTTTTAACTTTTTAGCCTGTAGTTTCTTGGGTGCTTTTAATATACCAGTGTTATTGCTTTCAAAAATATTTTATAGACAACTATTATTTTTCAGTGTTCTTTTGTGATATTATTTATTTTAGAATACTGAAAAAAAGCCAAATTGCTAAAAGTAACACTCATTAAAAAATAAAAATGATAAGTATACAGTTTACTGTATTTACATTTTATACTGTAGTTAACTGTGTATTTTTACATAACCGTTTGTGTGTTAACAGTTCTGTTTTATTAAAAAAATAAAACAAAATCTAAAACATTTAATTTTTAACACATAATGTAACTATGTAAGCTTCTAGTTTGAATTAGTTTCTAGTATGATTTAGTTACTTACTAAACATTACAATAGAATATGTCTGTTAATAAAATAATAATAATGGTGATGTTTGGCCTTGTAGATTTTAAAATAATGGAAGTGAAAGCAATGAGTTGAAAGTGATAATGAAGTCACAGACACACTTGTTTGTGTTTATTATTGTGGACCTCACTTTCACTCCCATTTTATTTTTACTTACTTTAAAATAACATTCCACATGGGTTTGTAAATTATTTTTTCTCTTTTAAATAGAAAAAGATCTATATATTTTTTTAAAATCCATTCTGTCCCATTCATTGTCAGTTTGTCAACAATTAATATCTTTGCTACAACATTTTCTCAGATTCCTGACTCTGACATTTGTAAAGTGCTTACATGGCCACACGGAAACAATTTCAGGGAAAATGTTTGTATTTTTATCATAGTGGGAATCGAAATTGATGGACACGTGGACAGTGACAGTGATGGTAAGCAACAATATGTCCGTTTTCTTCTAATGTATGTTTATTTGCTTACTAAGATTACAATTAAATTGCTGTGTTTTATTACACTTTATCTGATTCATATTTCCTGTTGATATAAAAAATTGTAGATTTTTCCAGTCATAGCTGTTCAGTTATTTTTATAGCTGCTTTTGTTAGATTGAAATGTTTGCTTTTGAAGACCTGACAAGTCTAGCTACCAGCTCATATTACAAATGTGCTGTAAGTGACATTCAAAATACTCTTTCAGGCAGATGAGAAGTAAAACAGACAACAGAAGGTTATAGTTTCATGCTTGTCTTTTGCAGTACATATACCTAGTACATAGGTATTGTCAAATGTGTAAAATTAGAAGCAATTTACTTCACTCTTTGTAAATCTCAACAACTTCTTAATCACATAGTAGCCAAAGAGTAAATTTAGGCTATGGACAATTTTATTAGTGTATTACGTGACAAAAAGAAGAAAAGGTTCAGAGAAGAATTCTCGCTGTCTAATTGATGTACCTACAGTTCATAATAATGCTAGGAATGTACATAGGTTTTTTTTAGGGTTAAAATGCCATTGGATAAACCCTAATTCAATTATATGTGTTAGCTACGTATATGAGCTACATTCACAAACCAGAACCAGTAGAATAGTTTCAATTTATGCAAAAGCTACAATTTTGTCATATTCTTCCTGTGCTTTAAATGATCCCATCATTACTGTGTTCAGCTTACAGTCAAATGGTGTTATGTATTTATCTTAGTATGCAAGTGCCTTGTGTGTGATTTGCGTACTTTTATGCTATACTAATGCTTGTTTCACAGAGAAAACCCTGTTTGTGTGCATTCATTAATTGGACTGATTGTACTAATTGGCCAGATATTGGGTGTCCATTACATTGTTTGTGTAGATCAATTTTTGAAACATTTGTC